TCCGTCCGTCCGTCCGTCCGTCCGTCCGTCCGTCCGTCCGTCCGTCCGTCCAACCATACATTATTTATCCATTAATAATCCATTACTAATTCATTAACACACCCATAACAAAAGCACGTGGATTCTCTCATTCTCAAGAGTCTTCCTAATAACATCAAGTAAAGTCAACCCACATTAAGTGATCATTTCATTTTAAAACCCCGCTTTACAAAACCCACGCCTTTGCGTCTACATCTCAAAAGATAATTTTACCATTCACTAAGACAAGAATTTCGCGAGTAATGACAGGGTTGCCATAATGTCTGATTTAACTTTAATACCTCCGCGTGCTCTCTCTCTATCCAATGACGGCCGCATGTCAAGCTAAATCATTGTCTAATTCGTATGTTACAATCAAAAGTTCATAGCACGTGATCGCGTTGCCACATTAATGCACCAATAGTATATGCGAATACGTGTAGCCAACACCTTAACAAGTCGAGCACTCTTAAGTCATTGATTTTATGATTTTTCGACAGTTGCACTTGAAGACAAGAGGTTCGAAGACTATCCATAGGTGTGGGCATTTTGGTACGTTTGCAGCTTAAACGGTGCTGAAATCCTTCGTAATCCCTCTAGAAACTAAAATACAGCTAGTGAAAGGTAAGTAAAGATCTAGTAAACAAGGTACGGTCTTAGTTATCTATAGAATCATGAAATTGTCTTTCTACAGCGTCGAGTGAACTTTTTAACCTTGCTAATAAATATACTCATGTACTTGAAAATATCTTTCAATTTTTAAAAGAATTTTGTTATTGACCACATGCGTGCAAAATGTGAGAAAACTAAAGGAGAAAGAGATAGAGCACACTGCTAACAGAGAAAAGAAAAGAAAAAACGAAGAGTGTGTACTAACACAGAAGGAGCCAAGCTGGGTATAGGGCTATTGCGACACTATTCATTATAATTAAGAAGCTAGACGTAAGTAATGTAGGGATAAAAGTAAATATAGAAGAGGGCAATATACGCCCGAAAACTCGACTCAATTATTTAAAGGCAAAGGAAAATATCAGTTTATCGGTGTAGCTATGAAAAATCAAAGGAGGAAAGTTATAAAAGAGAGCCGTTAATTGAACAAGAAATTTCTTTCCTAAAACTACTATGCATTTATTACTATAACTATCACTTTTGCTATTCCTTAATTCCCTAAAATAAAGGCCGTCAAAACACCCTAAAATAACCCTCGAAAATATCTATATTTTAGACAAACCTAAATATCAGATAACGCTTACCAAAATAACCTAGTTACGGCAAAAATCGACGTTCACTTAAAAGGACGGTTACACATTGACATCCCGTACGTCATAGGATAACAATAATGTCAGTTGTAACTTGTTTTGTAGTTATAGCTCACGTATTACATATCAGAAGTGTGGAGTTAATTAATAATTAATTAAATTAAAAATTAATTTATTTGGTTGAAACTGAAGTGAGTTGAGATAAGTTTACGTTAAACTTTGTGAATACGATAAGTTGCGCGCCTAGTCAGCTATTATTTTCCCTTTAGATTATTTAGCTCAGTATTTGCCTTGAATTTCTTGATCTTCAAGTACACCGCGTCATAAAGTAAAGCTTAAACTCATGATCACTACTACCTCTCTAATCCGTAAAAAATACCCCCAGCAAAATCCGGCACGTATGTACCAGCCCCGAGTATTGCACAACCTTAGTTATACATACACATCCATGTGTCATACTATCACAGAACTTTTAAATAATTTCTGCGCCACTTTCCATAAAGACAGAACGTTGTTTGCACTTGGTCTCAATTTACAAGAATTTAGAAAAGAAATATTCCCTATGATGACATCTACACCTTTCCACTTCGACGCCTTCAATATGAAAGTAAGCTTAAAAAGTAAGTGTGCCGCAGCGGTCAGAAACACTAGGACCTAACGTCACCCGCATCAGTACTACCCGGGATAGATTCCCTAACTCGGTATCGTATACGAGCAGAGTTACTTCGGTTGTTGTTGTTCTGTGTGAATAATTTTCTCCGCGGGATCTCAGGATTTCCTCTCCACGAAAAGCAACAGTTCTAACTGATTACATTTGGATTCCGCGTATGAACAGTCATTCTACGGTTATGCTTAAGCGAATGCCACATTTGATTAGACTTTAGATATCTGATAATGATAGAGTCAGAATGCTAATGCATGCGCTAGATCTGCACATGCAAAACTATAACGATAAAGGAGGTCGAACAGACAAGCCCATCAACCCACATATTCTTAATCATGAGATAATCATGATTTATGAGTGATATTCTTGAACGCGACAAGCCTTGAGGTCATACCACGTAACTTAGTACTTGCTAAAGGAAGTCGAATAAGTCGCGCACGCGGATGAGAAAAGCTTTAAGAGCTACGATGTGCTTAATAACCTAAAATCAAATAAGATTTCAGACTACCGCAGGCCTCGATATAAGGGACCGGCCATTATATTTCACCAGGGGGGAATGGGTTGGAGTATTTTTGACTAAACATCATAAAGATTCACTGGTCTGCCCCTGAGGGTTTTGACGTCTCAATGCATTGACATCTTTTTTCCCGTGTCTCAGCTAATCATATCTAATAGCTTAGTTGAGTCAAATGCTTGATTTTCATTGACAAACGGCTGCTTGGTGACAAAGCGTTCCGGCACCAAGGTCAGGCACCAATAAAAAGTGTTCACTTGTTAATTACTTTCTAAAAATATCCAAGTTAAAATTTTCGTTAATATTTGATACGCTATTAATTTAATCGTCCGCGACTATGCCTAATCTTTCCGTTGCCTAACACGAACGCGGCCTACACTGGCTTCAAAAATAAGTATTTTGAACAGGTTAGGAACTTACCGGTTAAGGTCGGCTTGGACATCGAGATTTAGGTACGCTTCTCACTCTATTAGTAGACAAAAGAGGCCCGCTCCAATACTTTGCCTTTTGATGACGTTCRTCGTATGGAAAGGACCTATACAAAAGTATCACTTGTCAGATATCAGCTACACACAGTTATTTTGATATTATAGGTACGTGCAAGTATTGAAAAATCATTTTGTTCTTATGTTTTCTCTTTTGATTATTTTGTTCAACATTTACCTTTACTTTGTTTATCTATTACTTATTATTTTTTCGAGTCTTTTCAACCTTTTTATTTTTTTGCTCTCCTGTATATTATTCAATTTATACCTTGCTTCCATTCTACACGTTTACCAGGGGCGGATCTAGGATTTTGTTCAGGGAGGGGCACAAAGTTAACCCATGCAGGGAGGGGTGCACCCCTTAGAATCAAAGGGAAAAAACAGTATTGGTTATCTTCGAAGTAGGGGCACAAAGTCGAACCAGGGAGGGGTGCGCCCCCCTGCACCGCTCCCCTGGATCCGCCCTTGTTTACCCTTCACTTCCATATGCTTTTTTCTTCTTCTCTTCTTGTTTTTGTTTTTCTTTTCTTATTCTTTCTTATTTAAATAATTTGTCTAATCCCTTTCCTCTATTTTTTTTAAAATCTAAACTCGCATTTCCTTTTCTTTCCTATTCTCTTCCTTCTTTTTAATTTCAGTCTCTTTCTTCTCTTTCTTCTCTTTCTTCTCTTTCTTCTCCTCTTTTCGAAAGGAATTCTTATTTCACTTCTTTGCATAAATTACTGCCATAACTAAAGTGCGTAGATAATAAATAACAGTGTCATTAGAAATAGGAAGTTGATCCCTATCAGATACAAGAATTATTAATCTATTACTGATCTCTAGCTAGACTTCCCGCCATTATTCTTTGCCACTACTACAACTCTTTTCACTTACTTCAACTATTTAAATAGTTTCAACTTGAAAAACAATCACGTTATATTTTATGCTGCAAGTATATTACTGAGCCAATTAATAATTGAAGATTATCATCATTATCATTATTATTTGGATTTGAATTGCTGTTATTGCTGCTGTTGTTATGAATAACTACAAGATTTATTCTTAAAATATCGTTTAAATGCTATATACAATGCGATACGTATATGCTTTTTTCTTTTTACTATTCTGTGGCAGTCGTAGACTTATTTGGTAGGTCTCAAGTCTCGAAAAATTTGGCAAACCTTCGAAACTAGAAATGCAGTTTTGAAATGAGTCAAAAACGGTTTGAGTTCTTTTCGGCAACGTTTCCGATAACAAAAAATATATATACCAATTTGATGAAAAAAGTGGTTAAAATCGAATCTTAAGATATAGCTACATCGGTATAATCTTGAAATTCATCCTTTTTTGTGTGTGGAATCGAAGTTTGCATTGTGATTATAAACTTAAGACGATACCTACTTCCGTGAGAAAAAGTCTATAATGTAAAAGTGGTAAAAATTAAGAAATTATTTAAAGGTTGGTGAGACAAATCTAACCAAATGAAGTTAAACCCAACCCACCAACACCTTCAGTTTGAGTCTATAATGTATTTCGAGAATGCCCATAATATTGTAAACAAGTCGGGAAGTGTAAGGGGATTATAAGCCCATCAAAAGGAAATACATGAGTTAGAAGTCGCTCCATTATACATTAAGCTAGAATTAAAACCATTATAAGTGGATTTGACTGAATTCTTTGTCGGTAAATAGACTAAGCTTACTCTACATTATCAATTTTGATTCCTTTACTACATTTCGCTCTTAATTCCTTGTATTTCTTTTCTCTACTCAAGATAAATTTAGCGTTTTTTTTGGTTTGTTTTTGTCTTTTCATTTTCAAGTTTTCTTGCTTTCCATTTTCGTTTACATAGCACACTGACATTGCTGTTATTTTCTTCTCCTTACTGCAATTTTCATAAACATGCGAACTCTGTCTGCGAGCTGCACGCTGGTTTTTCGCTGCCGTCAATCAAACTTAATCAGTCGGTACCTTTAATATTTTTGACTGGCGGCAGCGAAAAACCAAATTTCAACGTGCAACTTCGGAGACGCAGAGTTTGCATGTTTATGAAAATTGTAGTAATCAAAAACAAAAATCAATTCAAATTAAATTCCAGACAACATGGTAATGAAAAGCTGTCTACTTGAGACTTGTTAGAAAAAACTAAGAAGTCTCGACACGAAAAAAGAATACTTGAAAACATTGTCAGTGCTAAAGGAAATAGGCAAGCAGTTCCTTCAACCCCAGGGTTTCCTTCTTCTAGCCACGAATAGCTTTCTTTTTGCCTTTAGACTCACAACACTTCCTTTTTAAATTGCAGCTTTTAGAATAGGAAGTTGGGGTTTAAAAGCATGCTCGTGAAACAGCGGGTTTCCTTAAAATGGGGTTTTTATTTCTTTTAGGTTCAACAAAAGATCCCCGAGAAAAAAAAAACATTGAGAAAGTCTACATTACTTAGATATTTGAACACCTGCTTCGTTATATTCCAATAGCCCAAGGACCGGCCATCTATTCACTTTAGTTTAGATATATGAAATGCTTTCTGAGCGGCATCTCTTTTTAGGCATTTCTCATGCATAATTCAACTAAATCATGTCTTAAGAGCCGAAACAGCTGAAACATGGTTTTGGCGGGGAAAAGACTGCGCGCGTCATTAGAGATGGATGTTATAAATTATTGTATTTAAGCTGGAAAAAGCCAAATTTTAGATATGAAACTCGCTGATCTTCTTATAAAACAGTATCTCCACAGCCCTAAACTGTTGAGCACGATTAATTGGCGTGGAACGTATAAATTAGAGGAAATTTTCTTCGGGTATAGGCGTTACATGATGAATGTACTTCCAATGAAATAACTTCTAGAAGTTCTACAGCGTTCGGTTCATTTCTTAATTACACATCTTGAAATCTCCTGCTCATGCTAATCCCTGTGTCCTAACATGTTCTATCACGCCATTAAATAGCGCTTAAAATGATGAATATGAACATTTTATGAAATCACCATGGTAACCAGAAAGGATAAAAAAGTTAGACGTAAGAATCATAATATTTTCATAGCTTGAGATTGTTCACTTCTGCATTGCCCAAAGGGTTTAGTATCATTATTTCGATCGAAAAATTCATATTTGCATTTCCAATGCTAAAAAAGGAAAATTCATCGAAAATCAAACTTCGAGAACGAAAAAATCATAGCACATTTCGTATTCCGCAGAATAGAAAGTTTTGGAAAAAGATGATGTTTTGATATAAAAACTAAAGCTCTTGAATGGTTTTTCTTAGACGACCAAAAGATCAAAGGATCAGAGGATCTAGTACAATATCGAAGTATAATGTTAACTGCAACCGCTTGATCTAAATCAAGAAATATTCTAAAGGATTAGCAAGAGGTCGAGACCAACGCGGCGTCTATTCGGGTAAGATAGTAAACATTTTATGGAATAAAAGTGCAGTTTTTTTTTTCAGGCACAATTTTAAAGTGCTACTCTGACGAAAATCGCTCAAGCTTGGATTCAGCTGAAACTTCCTAAGAATACTCTTTAAAGGTCCAATAATCACTGTATGAAGTGTTTTCTCGATATTCAGGGCGAAAGTATGATATTTTTACGWTTATTTTTTGGAGTCTGTGACGTCATACACTCAACATCAAACATTGCTACATATATTTCTTTGTATATAAATCCTTAATTTATGTTATTCCTATGAAGCCCAAAGGGTGGCTAATGTGCTTATTTCACATTACTTGTGACTATTATTTATATTTTGGGGTGTTTGGGTATTTCTTTCTCCCTTTGCTACTGATATTTTGATCATAAACTACAAAGAAATGTATGGAGCGATGTTYGATGTTGAGTGTATGACGTCACAGACTCCAAAAAATAAACGTAAAAATATCATACTTTCGTCCTGAATATCGAGAAAACACACTTCATGCAGTGATTATTGGAAGTTTCAGCTGAATCCAAGTTTAAGCGATTTTCGTCAGAGTAGCACTTTAAACTAGGACATTATCTTGGTAAATTGACATCGAGTTCATATCACCAAATCTTACCTCGATGACTAAAAAACTTGAAATTTCGATAGAATGAAAGAATACTTCAAAATACATTAGCTATAATGTTGAGAACAGCTATCTTGTGGTCCGGCCCTAAGATCCAAATTGTATCAATGCTATTTGGTATGAAAATAACATGTTATTGTCTGTAAGTATTCGAATATTTCATCCCTGTATCAGTCAGAAACTACAGTTTACATGCTAAAATAGAAATAACAGGAAAAAAACAAGATTACCCAGGCTCATTTCTAAAGGAAAATACAAAACCCAAACTTCTACAGTGGAACCTCTATTAACTGATCACCTTTGGGACCTTGCATGGTGTCCGCTTAATAAAGGGAGTCCGCTGTATAGAGGTTTGTTTTACAGTTAATACAGTGGTACCTCTACTAACTGGACACCTTCGGGATCTTGCATGGTGTCCGCTTAATAAAGGGTGTCCGCTGTATAGAGGTTTGTTTTACAGTTAATACAGTGGTACCTCTACTAACTGGACACCTTCGAGATCTTGTATGGTGTCCCACTGATAAAAGGTGTTCGCTGAGTAGAGGTTTATTTTACGGTAAATATGCAACTAGCTATCACGAGGTATAACTATTTCAAAATATAAGGAAACCAAAAATATGGACTCAAATTGCTGCTGGTGAAAAAATAATTACATGTATAATACATACTATAATTGCATAACAATAGTTAGAACTGCAGTTGAGTGCTTTTTGGATAAAAAGTATTTGATGATAATTTATATAATTTATTAGTATTATAGAAAGAATATTTTTAATTAATTATTTCTTCCGTTTCTTTAACCTTATTTCCTTCTTTTCCTTTTCTTTTCTCATTTTTACATTTTTTTTCTTTCTTCCTTTTCTTATTTGCTTTGAATATTGTGTACGAACTGCCTCATGAAAAAATAATGCATTCCTTTATTTCTTTTCGAATAAATAAACACAGGTTGTATTTGAGATTCATAAAAATTTTTCAATAAAAAAATTCTATTAGTTCATTTACGGAAAAAGATATATCCGAAAATTCCCTA